TTACAAAGGAATAAAGAGGGAAAGAAAGGACTCAAGGATTGGAACAATACATATTATCAACGTGTCCAAACTATCCAAAGCAATATACAGATTCAATGCTATCCCTATCAAAATTGCAATAAAAGCCTTCACAATTGTTAGAAAAAGCAATCCTAAGATTTCTATACATCCACAAAAGACCCCAGGCAATAATAGCAATCTTAAGCAAGAAGAGCAAAGATAAAGCCATCACACTTCCTGATTTCAAACTATATTGTAAAACTCTCATCATCAAAGCAGCATGTTGCTGTCATAGAAAACAGAACAGAGAACCCAGGAAACAATAAACTCGCACATACATAGCTAGCTAATTTTTGACAAAGGTATCAAGAATATTCAATGGTCAGAGGATAGACTTGTGAATAAATGGTGCTAGGAAAACCTGGATAAAAAAGGAAGGGAGGAAGGGAGGAAGGGAGGAAGGAAGGAAGGAATTGTACTCTTACTCTATACAAAATCAATTCAAATGAATTAAAGATTTAAACATAAGTCCTATGATCTTAAAGTTCCTAGAATAAAACCTAGGAACGTTCCATAACATTGGTCTTGGTAATCATTTTTACCAATCATTTTGACATGAATAGGATAGGCAACAAAAGCAAACATAAAAATGTGGAACTCTATCAAATTAAAAAGTTTTGCATTGCAAAAGAAAAAAAAAATCCAACAAAATAAAAGACAACCTACAGAACAAAGAGAATATTTCTAAGCCATATACACAATAAGTTATCCAAAATAGACAAGACAGATGCAACTCAACAGCAGAATAGCAATCTAATTAAAAAAGGGCAAAAAACCTGAATGGGTGTTTTTCCAAGGAAGAGATAAAATGGCCAATGGGTATAACAAGAGATGCTCAATATCATTAATCATCAGTGAAACACAGATCAAAGCCTCAGTGTGAATCCCCTCAGCATGATTAGGATGGTTCTTGCCAAACATCAACCCAGCAAGCCCTGAAGAGGAGATGGATGTATGAGTTGGTGGGACTGTCAAACTGGTCCAGCCACTAGACACCAATATGGAAGTTCCTCAGCACATTCACAACAGAGCTACCATATAATCCAGCAATCACACTCCTGGGCATATAACCACAGGAAACAAAGTTACTGTCTTGAAGACATTCCCATAATATTACAGCTTAATTCACAACAGCCCAGACATGGAAACATCCAAAATATCCATTGATGGATAGATGGATATAAAAAAATGTGGGATACACACACACACCCACACAATATTATTCAGCCCTAAAAAGAGAAGGAAACCATATCATTTGTAACAACCTGAATGAATAGACAGTAGAATGGTGGTTACCAGGGACTTGAGGGTGGGGAAAAAATGGAGGACATTGGTTAAAGGCTGCAAATATGCCATTAGAAGATGATTAAGTGCTTGGGACCTAACGTAGAGCATGGTTGCAGACCCTCATCCATAAAATGGGACTAAGTCCTGCACCTGATGCCATTGCTACCTCAACTAATGCGCACACAGGTGCTAGCTAGGATGTCTGGCTAAGCCACTGGCTGGAGTATGATAGAGGCTGACAGGAGAGGATGCCCAGGGACCAGGTGACAGATGCTCTACTTCTCAAGCCAATGTTTGCTCTCATTGGGCTCTTTGTCAGAAGACTGCCCCAGGGAGTCTGGGACTCTGTGGTTTCTGAGCAGAGTGTGTCCTCAAATCTGTGTATTCTTTAAGTCAGTGAAAACGCTTCTTTGCCACCTGAGTAGAATAGCAATGCAAGCCCTGTGTGGGGAACTTGGAAAGCACTCAGGAGGGTGGAGAGGAAGTTCATCACCATCCTCCTGCCAAAGAGAACCGCTGACAACAGTTTCCCATATTTCCAGTACTTTCCTATGATATGGAAATAAAATTAAGAGCCCAATATCCTTGCTTATTTTTGTCTTCTGATTTTCACTTAAAATCTGACGGCAGGTACTTTCCCATCCTTACAGATATTTAATAATCACTATCTCAGTGCTGAACAAAGCTCCATCTTAGGTGTAGAAGACTCTTACACTCCGCTACCTATCAGACCATTATTCAATATGTAAGTAACACTTAGATGAACATATCTGCACTTACATCTGCAGTTTTATCAATTTTCCCAGGATCTGTTTTTAGATGAGGGAGTCCATGTAGAAAGATAAGAGCAATTTCAAAGTGATAGGCTTGGGTTACCAAAGAGCTTTCCAGAAGGGTCATTCCCATTTTAACTCCACTGGAAGGAAGACAAAGTTCTCTCTCTCTCTCTCTCTCTCTCTCTCTCTCTCTCTCTCTCTCTCTCTCAGTACAGGGGATTGAACCCAGGGGCATTGAACCACTGAGCCACATCCCCAACCCTTATTATATTTTATTTAAAGACAGGGTCTCACTGAGTTGCCCAGGGCCTTGCTGAGTTGCTGAGGCTGGCTTTAAACTTGCAATCCTCCTGCCTCAGCCTCCTGAGCCTCTAGGATTACAGGTGTGCAACACTTCTCTCTTTATTCCCCCACCCACTTGCCCTGAGAGTAAAAGCAACCTTCATTAATATCTAAGTCTGGGACTAATAGTTCTGTAAGGATTTGCTTCCCAGGTACCTTTGGACCTGGAGAAAGAAGCCCAGGTACTGCATCTCCCCTGAGTTTCCTGTGAGCTCAGGTCTCCTGAGAAGAAGACAGTCAGTAGGAAGATTCATCCAAATGTTAGGGAAACACACACAATTGCAACAGAAGCCAAGTGGAGGGCGTATTCTGTGCTTTCAAAAGATCTTAGTTGTGCGTCTGAGCCAAAGGTGACCTCCTCCCACACAGGGATGGGCCTCAAGGCTGTGCCCTTATTTTTGAGCTAATGCTTCAAATTCTTGTGCTTTGAAACCCATTTTTCCAATGCATGAAGTTAGTACTGGCAGAGAAAGTCAATTAGTTTCTCAGACAGTTTCATTAAGACTTGTTACAGAAGTGGAGTCGAGACAAATTGAGTCAAGGATTCGGCTTGTGTGTTTATTTTTCGACCACAATCAATAGTGTTTGGTCTGCTTAATGTCACATCGACTGGGGACCCCGTGCCTTCCTCTTCTAAGAGAACCGTTTAACTTTAAGGAAAGAGAAACTTAAAAACTTTCTGTTCCAAATTCCATCTGATGTTGTGGAAACAGACTTTTTTGGTGGTTATATGAAAGTGCTTCCCCCCGACAGAACCCTCCCCCTGATGACAATAACGACACTTTGTTAACAGAATCTATCAGGAGTGTTACCAACCAAATACTGAGTGGTCCAAGGCCCATGCAGGCTCTCAGGACTGAGAAGAAAATAAACATTTCAGGGGAAATGAAGGCAATTTTGAATGCCAGATAAAAAGCCAGAAACCTATCAGATCCATTTTTAATTCACAGATTTTGTTTAATGAATTTATTAAGTTAAATGCTCCTTCAAATCAATAAATGCAGTTGCATTTTTAGAAACAGTCTGGAGCAGATGAATCATTCTGATTCTTAGTTCAGTGTAACAATGACTTTGTCTTCCCTCCTTGACATTAGCCACCCCCTAGCTCCCCAGCCTGATGGTCCCCGCAGGTGCAAGACCAGCCTGTGACCCAGCCCTGAGCACTCTCAATGACACTAGGTGATTGATGGATAAGCTTTTCCAGTCTTTAAAACATTATTTTACTTTTCTAATTTTTCAACCTTTTTGGTTTGTTCTTTTTGGATACACATGACAGTAAGAGTGGATTTTGATATATTATAGCTACATGGAGTAGAACTTATTCTCATCAGGATCCCATTCTTGTGGTTGTGCATGATGTGGAGTTTCACTGATGGTGTACTCATACATGAACATAGGAAAGTTATGTCAGATTCCTTCCTATTCAATATTTTTTTGTCTTAATTCCATGTTGTCTCAATTCATGTGAATAATATACATCCGTCAGAATGGAAGAAACTCAGGTAACTTTCCTATGGTTTTAATAAGACACAAAAATCTACCTTAGTCAGCCATTTTTTTTGATGATTTGTTCCTTGGTCTGTTCTTTTAATTTCCATTTTCTTAATTTCACTTCTCATAAAAGATGATGATAACATTTCATGTCTAATTCGCTGTCAACTTCACCATCAAAAAATAAAATAGAAAAAATATTTTTAAAGCAAGAATGAAAGAAATTAGGCTCACCAAAGGAAGACTTTCATCTCTTGGAATTAAAAACTTTAAAGTGTTCAATGAGCTTTGGGTCGTTATTTGTTCTTTGGAACGAAAATTGTACTCCTGCAAAAATAGTCAATTAAAATTTTGCTCATTAATTAGCAAATATTTATTTATGAATCATATTGTCAATCCCACAGGAACAAAAAACACACAAACGACTCCAAAAAAAAAAAAAATTGTTTGGTCTCTCTCTCTCTCTCATAAAAGAAAAATGTCTTCTTCCTCAGGGCAAAGAATCTGTTATTCTGTGTAGCTTTCAGAAGGGAGGTCACACGTTTTTTTATTGATTTTACTTCCTATTTGGTAGCAAAATAATGTGAGAAGAGGCAGTGAACATTCCTGGCGACAAGCCCAGATGTTCAGAAATATGTGTCAGGACATTTTCTGAATTCCATCTTTTTCCCAGAAATTTCATGGCAGATGGGCTCCCTCTGCCCTAGGTCAGAGATGCAGCCACGTGCGTGCGTGCACTGTGGGAGGGAGCTCTGAAGGCAACTCATTTCTTACAAACCCAGGCCAGTGGATTCCAGATGTGTGCTCAGAATTCCTGAGCAGCCCCACTGCATGGAGAGGTGGCTCCGGCCAGGGGTTCCTGGGAATCTACCACCACAGCATCAGCAGGCCACTGGTGGGAGCTCCTGTCTGGCCCCCATTTTTACAAAGAGGTGGGGAAAAGGCTGGTATCGTTCTTATGAAGGCTGAAGGAATGGAGAAGGGATTTGGAAGAGTGCAGTGTTGTTAACTTGCCCTGAAATTATTTTGATCTTCACTCTTCAGGCAACATCAGGAACACTGAGAAGCTCAGCTACGACAAGCAACGCCAGTATGAGATCCTGGTGACGGCGTATGACTGTGGACAGAAGCCCGCTGCTCAGGACACCCTGGTGCAGGTGGACGTGAAGCCAGTTTGCAAGCCTGGCTGGCAAGGTGGGCCTGGTTTCATCAGTCCTGCTACCTGAAGGCATCTTAGCCTGGTATAAAGGGGGTACAGTCTGTGTCCTCGAATCATTATAACACAATGGGAGGAATGTTTTAAATGTGATGGTTTTGCTGCAAGAAATAGTTTGTTTTCACACTTCTTAGACGATTTATTATCCCCATTTTACAGCTGAGAATCTCAGAGGAAACTTGTCTGAGGTTGATGCTCCCTTTCTCAAACCTGATGACATTTCCAAAATAATAGTAATTATCCCACAGCGCTGACGAAGAATTGCCAGTGAGCCCACCTACTTGATCCCCGGGGTGCTCAGCTGGGCTGGTGCACCTTAGATTTCTACCCCTGATGGATACCTTGGGAAGGTCGCCATGTTGCTTGCACTCAGATCATGGGTGGGGGTTGCAGGTGACAGCCTCTGGGTAGGTGGGTTTCTAAAAGGTTGACTCAGGGAATGGAGAAGCGATGGCTTTTGATGAAGTGGATTTTTGTGTCAATGTAGATCTTTTAGGGACAAAGACAGAGCCGGCATTCCAATTACCCTTAGGCTGTGGGCTCTGTCACTGACCTTAGGGTATGAAAAGAGGGCAAGGACAGCTGCTTAGGGGCAGCTCATGGTGTAAGGTCAGGCACTGGTGACCAAAAGGAGGCACATTAAAAGCAGCTGAACAAGGCTTTATTGAGCTTCGCTCCCAGGCGAGACCCTGCAGTCCAACAGAGTGGGTCCAGGGGAGTCGTACCCAGGCTCAGCTGGACTGGAATTTTATTGGGCTTGGGGCAGGAAGGAAGGGCTTAGGACAGGAAAGGGATGTTTTTAGGGTCCCCTGTCCTCCTGGGGCTGGTGAGGGATCTTTCTGAGCTCCATGTCCTTCCAGGACTAGTCAGGAGACCCCGCTGATGGACAGGTGGTTATCACTGCTTGTCTGGGCCCCTGATTGGTTGTTCTTTCACACGCATGGGTTGCCTGGTGCTTTGTTCCCTTAGCCACCGCAAACCGGCCTAACACGCAGAATAATGATAACTCTCTTGGTGATAGGCCTGGTGCCTGAGCAGGGAGGTCAATGTCCATCTCTGTGTCCCTGTGTGGGTGCTTGAAGGGACATCTCTTCACGTGTTGGTGATGCTCCAGGCTTTTGTGTCTTCCTGGATGTGTCTTTAGGTCTCTGGCCCCTTTTATATTCTTTCTTCTCTTTTAGGCAGACCATGGCCAGGCCACCCTATAGGTCCCTGGTTAGACTTCCAGTGGCTGCCTTTTAGTCAGGCATTCATTCCCAGTCCCTTTTCTCGGGGCCACGTGGGTCAGGTACAGCACAAGACACCTGAACCTCAGCCGCCTGAGTTCTGACTGGGCTTAAGGCACCAGACCTAAGGGCCCAAAAGGCAGGATTCTGTCACATTCATTTCTCAGGCTGAGCACAGTGACGCAAGCCTGGAATCCCAGCAACTCAGAAAGATTGCAAGTACAAGGCCAATCTCGGCAACTTAGCAAGACCCTGTCTCAAAATTAGAAAAATAAAAAGCATTGGGGATGTGGCTGAGTGGTGGAGTGCCCCTAGGTCCCATCTCCAGTACCAGAAAGAGAAGGAAGGGAGGGAGGGAGAGAGAGAAGGAGGGAGGGAGGGAGGGAAGGGGAGGGGAGGGGAGGGGAAAGGGTCACTGAATGAGTGAACAAAAAACTATCTAAGTAAAGAACCCATCTTGTTTTATTTTTACATAAGGATCAGCAATATAGGCCTGGCCTTTCAAGAGAAGAGTCTAGAAAGAATCTATGCATTTCCAAAGGGTGGAATGTGCTCACAGTGGGATTTTAAATAGGAAAGGCAAAAAGCAAAGTCATATCTCGAGAATGATCCTGATGTTTTTTGGTCTTTGACAAATGAGGCGCCCACGGATTTGGGATTCCTTGTTTATACCTATATTTAAATGTAATCTTTACAGAGGTGTGGACTTGCTAAATCTATGCAAATGTAATGTTAAGTCTACGCAAACAAAATCTTGGCCACGATGTCCAATTCTGTGTGAGGAACGTGCTGAGTGCCCACCCTGCAGTGCCCAGTGTGGTCAGCAGCTCCTGGAGGTCCAGGGTTATGCCATGGGCGGTTTTATCTCCAGGGCTCAGCACAGGACCAGGCACAGCGTGGGCACACGCAGTGCAGAGCAGACGAATGAATGGGCAGCAAAACCCTGGTGGAAAAATGTACCTTTTCCTGCCCAGGAGGCTGAGGCAGGAGGATCGTGAGTTCAAAACCAGCCTTAGCAATTTAGCGATGCCTGCACTTGGTCATGGACAGGCCCTCCAGGGATTCTGACCTGTGTAGCAGTGGTCACGGTGCCTCCCTGCCTTAGGGGAGCTAGCCCACCCCCCCAGCACCCTCATGAGCTCTTCCACTGCTTGGGCAGCCTTCACACCAACCTCCCATCCTGGGCCTATTACCTCCACCCTCCATCAGGGCTGCAGCTCTCAGAAGTGCACTCTTCTCCAGGAAAGAACTGACCACAGCTGGTCCCAGCCCTGTGTCTCCTGCCTGGCCCCTTCTCCCAGCTTCATAGGAGTAAACTGGGGCGGTGTGTCTGACTGGTTTCTTTGCTACCCTCAGGTAAGGGAGGCTGCCCTGCCTGTGAGAGGGAGTCAGGCGCCCCAGTCAGGCGTGCCTGGGGTAGACGAGGCTCCTGCTAAGTCACCTCAACTGGATGTCTCTGTCCCCTCGTACCGTCCATCTCCTGCCACCTGGAGGAAATAGAGCAGGCCCCAGGGGTCAGCTGGCTTCATGCTGCCCCTTTCAAAAGTCAGATTAATTATTGATCAGGAAAACCCAAGAGCTGGCTTAGGTTTTACTCCATGAAAGACATTGATTTCAAATCGTAGGGTGATGAGCACAGTAAGGTGCCCTGATTTGCTTAGGGAAATAGAATTGTCAGGGTCTAGAAAATGGAACTGTGTCTGTCAGGGGATGGGACGGCCGTGGTGCTCCTGCAGGCTGATACCCAGAGCCCTGCCGGAGAGAGAGCCTGAAGAAGAGCTGCTTGTCGTCCCTCTGAGATGCCACCAGCACAGAACTGATGTTTCATTTTAACAGATAATCCTCACTTAAAATGTAAATGCCTCTTGCTGTCCTGGTGCGTTAAACCAGGGGCCAGCAAAGCGCAGCACACAGACAAATCTAGTCAACTCCCTGTTTTTGTATAACTGTGAGCTTAAAAAAAAAAAGTAGACATTTTAAATGATTGGAAAAAAAAAAATCAAAAGAGGAATAATGCATGCACTTGAACTTGAATAATAAGAAATTCAAGTCTCAGTGTTCATAAGGTTCCCTGGAACACAGCCACATGCCTTCCTTTACAGATTGCTTACAGTGCCCTGCAGCAGAGAAGCTGAGTGGCCATGGCAGAGACCTCATGGCTCTCAAAGCCTAAATATTTGTCTTGGGACCCTTTACAGAAAAGTTTTCTGATCGCTACATGAAGCTCTTGATTGACACCTTAGTAAGAATTTATTGGATGACATAGCGCAGCCTAGAAGCCTGTGACATCAAGTGCACATATTTGAACAGAGACAAAGGAGTTATCTATAGATAATGAAAGCAAGGTTCCCTGAACAGAGAACAGGAGCAACCTGGGAGAGCAGCATTTCTAGTCCGTTCCACAGATAAGAGGAAGTTAGGCTAAAGAGACTAAGTGATGGCTCCAAATCTCAAGCTGTAAAATTACAAGGATGCAAGTCAAATTCTTCTCTGTCCATCACACTGGGACAGAAGACGGGAGAGGGGTTTGGGAGTTTCTAAGGGGCCACGTTACCAGCTTTGTAGAAAGCTGTGCCAGAATAACTGTTTGAGACCTGCGTCTGTCCTTAAGCCGTGCATTTAACCCCTTGTTACTCCATCTATAAAGTGGTGCTGAGATTGGCCTCTGGGGGAAGCCGGAGCTCAACGCACCAGCACCATCGTCCAGGAAGCAGCAACTGGAGCCCAGGACTCTGCTCCTGTCTCTGCTCCAACCAGTGCACATGTCCTTGATTAAGCTGGTCTGGCAATTCATTCAAAAATAAACCCATGCCTCCAGTCTTCCATCCCTGAACCGAGAGTTGCCTCTGGTTATCTCATGGGCCAGAGGAAACAAGGTAAGCCCAAGGCTTGGGTGGTAAGCCTAAGACACAAAGATGATGTCCCCAACTGTGGCTCCTTACATCAGAGGAGGAAATCTCTACTTTCCCTCCAAATATAATTTAGTCTGAAAAATCACCCCCAACCACCCTTCCATTCAGGCTCTATTTGAGGGTCTCCAGGGGCTCGGATCCTGCATCCTGCAGCCTCTGCCCCCCCGCCCCCATGCTCTCCTTTTCTCCGAGGCCTCCCCTCTGGTTCCTCCTTATCTCCCAGGTCTTCATTCAGGATCCCATTTTCCAAGCAAAATGCCCCGAGCCCTGCCCTGGGAAAGTGGTGGAGCCCTGGAAGGTGAGGGGGCGCGGGGGCCAGGTAGAGACCTGTGAGGATGTGGCCGGGCTCCAACCTTTGCTCGATCATGATCTGGCCAGAGACTTGGCCAAAGCCATTTCTCTGGCTGTGCTTTGGTCTCCCCGACAGAGAATTAAGAATCGTACTCTTTGGAAAAACCCTTTTGTGGGATTGTTAAGACCAAAAGAGGTTCTAGTGTAGAAGGACTTGGCAGAATTTAAATGATTATCAAGATTTTAATCACTCTGGCAATTGTCATAGCAGTATGACTATCTATTGTCCCCATTGTCATAATGCAAGGGTGACAGTGGAGACAATAGGTGCTGCCATAGAAATGAATACTCGGGTAAATGCATAGAATTGCACAGGCTGTATGGCTTGAGATTGGGGCCCAAGGGAGTCGGTGGGGTAGGGTGGAACAGTCCTGGGGGTGGGGCAGGAACCCAAGTTCTGGTCCAGCTTGGCTCCACTGCTCGCCGCAAACTTGGCAAACTTATTCAGTCTGCCTTCAGCTTCCTTTAATGTAAACACAAAAATGTCTT